ATTAGGGCTGGGCATGTTAATGCGTAAACGCCGACAATTGTTTTTTAATCGCACATTAACGCAGTTTTTTGAAATTATTATTTCCGTTATTATTATTATTATTAAGTCCGTTGCTCACTGGCTCTGAATACACATAGGCCTACAGTCAAACCATGGGTCACAGGAGAGTTGGGATGTTGATCAGCCTGCAAATAACCCTCCCAAACAAGCAGCGGAGAGAGGTTTCGCCAGGTTCTCTCAGGTGAACAGAAGGGGAGACTGCGCTCCGCGAGCGAAGGCAGGCGCTGTATGGATATTAACCATGGCAACGGCTTCTGTGCGCTGCACAGCCGTAGCCTTTTTAACTTAAATTAAAATTATACATAGGCTAACTTTACGTGATAGGCCTGCATTTAGTTTTGCGGGGATGCTCTGCCATGTGAATTCCCCCCTGTTGAGGTCCTGATAACTATTTAGATTCTGGAAACTCACGAACAGCGAGGATCAGTCTCTCTTCCAATGATTTGTGCTGTGCGTCGCGTACAAAAAGTTCAAAACCCCGTCCCCCTTAGTAACTGTTGCTAAGTCCGACAAACCATTGGCGCTGCCACTGTCTGTTACTGCACTCCCCGGAGAAATATTGTCAGAATTGTTGGAAAAAGCGATCTCATAAAGAAGCAGACAGTTTTGCAGTTGCGTTATAGATTTTAAGGTTGTATTCAGGCTGTCAAACTGACTCAAACAGACGAGAAAAAAAATTTAAGATAGAAGCTAAAGTCTAACACTTACACAGTACAAGTGAACCACGGCACCCCCCGACGACTGAGACAAAAGACAACGATATAAACGACAACAACACTGTTCCTGTAAAGCTGGGTAGGCCTCTATTCATTATTACATTAATTAAAAAAGCAGAACAGTAGGGCTTTATTACCTTACATTCAGTAGGAAGTTAGCTAGCGTTAGCTAACTAAAAAACATTAGGAACAATCCACAGCCGACATTTTTCTGGATTTATTTCAGGTTTTTAAAAGAGAATAAATCGTACTTCTCCTATCAACCTCTCTGGGTAGCGACTGTAATTATTACAAGTGACCCAGGAAAAGCGTATGACCATATCTTAGAAAAATACAGCCAAAAAAAGCTAGAAAACGACTCCTTTTGCATTAGTCAAATGAGCGCAGCCATGAAAGTGTCGGACCTCAGTTAGAGCGAGTCCTATACTGTGCTGTGATTGGCCAGCTGCGTATTCGGGGCGTGGCTTACCGAATGGTCAATTCAACTTCGGCAGCAGGCGGGTGTGTACGTGAGGCGAGTACGACCGCGACAGTTTCACGGGAACGCACCCGCTTGTCGCTACACCTTGTGCTCGACCACTTCACCTCACTGTAACACACTTGCTACTGAACATAGACAATTTTCTGCTGCTCCCTGATAAAAGAAAAATGTTTCTGCTGATACCTGCTCAGAAAAAATCCCAAGAAAACTGGACTCTGATGGTAACTTGTTTTAACAAGCTAGATAAAAGGTAATTCCCTGGCAGTGGCAAATAGCTTTGGTTTAATATTTGATTTGATTACATTAATGTTAAAGTTGAGATTTACAAGAAATATTTTATTGCTACTGTGTAAAGGGAAAACTGCTGGTAAAAAGCACCTTATTTGTTTAAAGTGTTTGCAAACCAAATGTTATTGCACTTTTGTGTATATAGCAGTACATTTAAAAAATGTACATACGAAAGTGTGCAATACACTACTTTAGAATTCATTATTTAATTTTGCACATAACAATGCGATTAATCGCGATTAAAAATTTTACTCGTTGCCCAGCACTAATATAAATATATGTATACATGAATATCTAATGCTACTGGTAAATACAGGCTATGAACAGGTTATGATTATGGCAGTACGGTATGAATAACTATATAATATGTACATAGTGCAAATGTGATTATTGTGGGGATTATACAGTATGTACAGTAGGAATGTCTATGTCTAGGAAATGATTTACAGTCTATACAGAATGTGCAGTACAAATGTACAGTAGTGCAATGGTATGCTTAGATGAAAGGTGCAGTTAATAGTGCAGTGGTGTCAAAGTCCATTATGGCAGTGCAATTGGTAAGTGTAGCTGATTCAGTCCAGGGGAGGATGGTGAGTATGTGTGTGAAGGGGGGTGCGGCGTTGCGGGGCAGAGTTCAGCAGAGAGACAGCTGTAGGGAAAAAGCTGTTCCTGCGCCTGGTGGTTTTTGTCCGTAGGCTCCTGTAGCGCCTCCCAGAGGGCAGGAGGGCAAACAGTCTGTGTGCTGGGTGGCAGGAGTCTTTTCTGATGTGTATTGCTTTCCTAAGGCAACGCTTCCTGTAGATGTCCTTAATAGCAGGAAGTGAGGCTCCAGTGATGCGCTGGGCGGTTTTTACCACCTTCTGCTCTCGATGGTGCAGTGGTATAAGTTCACCAGGATGTCTGAAGAGAGGTGGTTTTTCTTCAGAGTCCGCAGGAAAAAGAGGCGCTGGTGAGCCTTCTTGACCAGGTTGGAGCAGTTAGTCGTCCAGGCGAGGTCCTGTGAGATGTGGATCCCCAGGAATTTGAAACTGGTCACACGCTCCACCGTTGATGTGGATGGGTGGATGAGTGTCAGCATTCCTCCTGAAGTCCACGATGAGTTCCTTAGTCTTCTTGGTCTTGAGCAGCAGCTTGTTGTCGGCGCAATCACCGTGGTGTCATTTGCAAATTTGATGATGGTGTTGGAACCATGTCCAGATCTGCAGTCGTGGGTGAAGAGGGAGTAGAGGAACAGACTCATCACACAGCCTTGTAGTACGCCAGTGTTAAGGGTGAGGGTGGAAGAACAGTTGTGGTCCATCCGAATATGTTGGGACCTGTTGGTCAGAAAGTCCAGTAACCAGCTGCAGATAGAATCACTGATGCCCAGATCTGTGAGTTTGGTGATTAACTTAGAAGGGATAACAGTGTTAAATGCTGAGCTGAAGTCTATGAACAGCATTCTAATGTATGTGTCACTATTGTCCAGGTGTGAGAGGACAGAGTGCAGTGCTATGGAGACTGCATCTTCTGTCCTCCTGTTTTTATGGTAGGCAAATTGGCAGGATTTGAGATGTGCCAGGACCAACTGCTCTAAGCACTTTGTGATGATGGGGGTCCGTGCTACTGAGCAGTAGTCGTTGAGACAAGTTGGAGTGGAGTGTTTTGGCACTGGCTCGATGGAGGTGGATTTGAAGCAGGTCAGCACAACAACAACAGTCACTGATGACCTAAATGCCTTGCCACATACATCGGGGGTTGGTCTTGCAGCACAGAGTCTGTCCCCTCAGGCCACACTTTTAATGTCCTCACTGTCGGTTTCACATGTTGGATGAGTGGTGAATACTTAGGGTAATAAAAACCTATGATAATAACTCACTACGTCCTACCTGTCTAGTAATATTGGCTATGCAATATAAATAAATATGTTCACCCACACTTTTACCGTAAAAACTCTTTGGACAAAAAGGATGTTCACATTGACAAAAATATCTACAAAATGTAATACCTTGTGAAATGGCAATTAAGACTTTTTAATACTTCTTAATGGCCTTAATTTTCACTAAATTTATTTATTACCTTTTAAGACTTTTTAAGACCCTGCGGACACCCTGGTGAAGAGTAAAATCATCCTGTATACTCCCATAACACACCTTTACCACAGTCCTGTACCATATATTGTTCCAAACATTCAACTACCAAAAACCTATTTCTCTGCCTGCAAAATCACTGGCATGGACTCCAAAGGACCCATGGTAATCAATGGTCATTTTATCTCACCCCAACACAGTCCATACCCAAGGTGAGACAGATAAATATAGACTGCAGCAAATACAAAAACAGTACAGAATAAGTGATGCTCAACAGTGGAATACAAATAATGAAGTACATTTGATGGGGATTTTGCCCTAAAACTGACTTAACATCTGGCGTCATTGCTCAACTATGAAAACTTCTAGGTTTCAGATTTCTAGGTAACTCAGCATCAGTGTAACATCACAGATTAGGCAGCACAATTAAGAGCAGGATCAACTGTTTGTTTTTTTTTTTTTTGTTTCCTAATACAACTAGCACTGTTTAAAAAATATTAAGGTGTAGATTGAATGTTAAGAGCCAGTGGCTTTCCCTCATTAAACACAATAACAATACAAAAAAGATAAAAATAAAAATTGGCTGTTTAATAATACAATATTTAAAGGAGCTGTATACTTGGTATCTCTCTAGTTATATGATTTTATGATTATCAAATATGGTTCCAACACTGCTTTTAGCTGGATGATTTTTTTTTTAAAGGCAGCTTCAGAACTACCCCAGTCAATGCATCAAAAGCAATGTTGCCAATTCCTCTCCAATCAAAAAAACTAATAAACTATAAACATGCTAAAGGTCACCAGATGATGTTGTGCCACAAAGTCCCTACATCCTACAAGCCCCTGCTTTTGGATAGCTCTTTATAAAGTGGCTATACTGTAGTTAACAATTGGCTATGGAGTGCTTATTTACACATCCAGTAGTTATGGAGCAACATCATTCATTATAATTAATTTGGCGTTGTGTTTATGTCTAATATTCAATTTCTTTTAGCTCTGTTTTGGTCTCTACCAACTCCTCACTGAGTTCACCAGATAATCCCTAACTGTATCTGTCTGCCGTTTGGTGCTGAGCAGGTGGTGTACAGTGGGTTTTTAGAGCTTTTTCACAGTAAACAGCTGCCTACAGCAAGTGAAAACAATACTATGAGAGCAGTGAGAGTAATCAGTAAAATAGTTGGACAGCTAAACAATGAGCTGAAACTCACTATAAAGCTCTGTAAAGCCGAGGGAAGCAGCAGATTCAAGTGATAATTCTCTGTAGTTTAATCACTACAAGTGATGCCTTTCACAGTGTCATTTGATACACTGTTATTCGAAAAATATTGATTAGAGCTGCTATAAGCACAGAATTCGGTATAATATGGCAGTTTAGTATTTTCTTACCAGAGACACTTGCAGCAGCCGCACCAGCAGAGGCAGCAGGTGTTGGGCCGGGGCTGTCCAGGGGCCTGGGGTGGGGCCTCGATGTGTGCCGCCTGCCTTTTTCTCATCTCCACTCCACTCACACTCCGGGGCTTCACAATGAACACACACAGAAATAAACACAGTTAACTAGCCTTCAAATGAATAATAATATAACAGAGAGACCAGTTCCAAATTTGCTCCCCATGTTTTACTTGTGGCTCACCAGTAAATATATCTTTTTTAGAGAAGGAAAAAGAAATGGTGTGAGTTAGTGTGTGTGTGAAAGAGAGATGAAGCAAGAGAGAGAGCACTCGAGCAGGACAGAGAGGATTCCCTTCCTTGTACGGTACGAGGGTTTCTGGCATTAAGCCAAGCTTTTTACTTGGCTTTGACAGACACCTCACATACATTTCAATGGGCACAGAGACATAACAGGGAAGCAGGGTCTACACATCACGCACAGACCTTTTTTTTATATAATCTATGCAGATATGTGCAACAAATACACAAATTCATGCATGCTCATATTAACCCATCCAGCTCTTTCTATATTCATCGTCTGTCCAGCCTGAATCCTTTGCACAGGCAGGAGATGAGGATTTAAACCGGGATACACCACAGGTGTACACACCTAATGTATTTTATATAGTGACTATGACACTAAATGTACTGCTGTTGTCTGATGGATTTTGTTTTAAATGAGACAAGTGCCTCTTTCCATTGCAGATATCCAGTATTGATGTTTCGGTTTCTGAAATTAGCTCTTTGGTTACACTTCAGTCAACAGTTAGCATGGCTGTGAGGCTGAACTTACCACAGTGGTGCTTTGCACTGAATGCTAACGTCAGCATGCTAACAATGACAATGCTAACATGCTGCTGTTGCGTTTTAGTGTGAATATGTCATTTTAGGCATTTTGTGGAGGTGGTTAACTAAAGAGCTCCTACAAAAAGTTATATAATGTTATTGAGTGGAAGGCTCAGAGGCCTTCAGGACTAAAAGATAAGCAGGAAGAAACTATACACTCTAATTTGATAAAATCTCACTTTCAGCTGCTCCTTATGTATGGACTGTGCAGTGTTTGCCAAAACTTTCCATTTGAACAGTTTAGCAAGACTTTCATGAGCCACTTCTCTGCCACTGCAGCTACACTTGCAAATGTTTTACCTATCAGCCTCAAGTAATAAAAGTGTACACCTAACAACTACGTAGTCCCGCTTTATTCTCCCTTAATGTCACTGTGGGCAGTCCTGTGCTGGTCATTGCATGGGGTTTTTTCTGGCCTTCAGAGAGCCTTTGAAGGTGAATGAAACAGTGGATTTGGCCTTACAGGTAGAAGAGGTGTGAAGAGCCACTTTTAGAAGAGGTGTGAAGAGCCACTTTTAGGCCCCATCCACACTACTCCGTTTTAGTTTACAAACAAACAAAATTAAAACAAATACGATCTCTGTCCACACCAGCGTTTCCACTGCGTTTTGGAGTTGAGCTCCGTCTACATTAAAACGACTGAAAAAGCACAGCTAGGACCCATTCAGGTGTACTGGGCATGCGCGTGCCAGTGTAAACATGAAACAGATGGTCTATTCCGTAGTTACAGAAGATTTGGCGAAAGAATAAATAAAGACTAAGCATCAGACCAGGTTTTTATTTGTTGCATGGATCAATAACGAGCTGGGACTGTTACTGAATGTAACACAGGAGGGTGGCGGCAGAAAACAGACTGGGAGTTGTTGCAAAGTAAACGGTGACATGCACAGTACAAGTGTAGGCAGATGAGTGTTATTTGCACAGTACAGAATATTTTAATAAAAATATGATGTCAAAAACCCGGTCAGCAGTATTGTGTTTCTGCTGTGCAAGACCCAATAAGAGAGCCGTGCGAGAGCGGCTGCGTCATCGTTTCTAAAGTCCTCCGTTTTGGCCCATCTTTACTAAAACGCCCTCCGGAGTTTTGAAATGCAAAACGTGGTCGGCAGCGTTTCCAAACTTCTCTGTTTTAGGTCTTTCATCGTTGTATTCTGGACGGGAAGTGCAAACGTAGCAAAAGGTCTGCGTTTTAATTCGAAAACGCAGTAGTGTGGATGGGGCTTTAATGTCACACAACAGCCCTGACACGACAACAAACACTTAAATGAAAAGGACTCATTCGAATGCCTGAGATAATGGTAGTATACAGTCCAAGTAGTAATGCTGTTTTTCATATTCCTCCAAGTGGAAGATAATACTTTTTTCTTATGAAAATGCGGTTTTCTTATGATCTAAACAGGCCGGGAAAACCCTTATCCCACTGTGCAGTTAGCTTACACTATAACAGCGCTGTCAGGTAGTCCAACAGCCAAATCTACAGCAAGAAACACCACGAAGATACGAAGAAGCTAAGGAGAGGATGCCATGTCAAAACAAATTCCTCTTTTGTTAACAGATGGACGAGAAAATAATGAACATAGACATTATTTCACCAAGGGAGGTAGCGTGAAAAATGAATTTCAGGTTTGTAGTCTGTGAATCAAAAGTACGCTTAAATTAAACAGAACTCTTACCTCTAGAGTCATGGTTCAAATTAAACTCCACCTTAAACACTTAAAAATCCAAATAAAAATAACTGCGCTCCAGTACCAACAGAGGAGCCTTCTCTCTTCGTTCTCGTTCCCTCTACCCTGCACACACACACACACACACACACACACACGATTTACTACAATGATGATACATGGCAGGTAAGCCCGAGACAACCAGTGTGATATGCAAATGTCGTCGCCTGGCCAGTGGAGTGGCCATCAGTTATTCAGCGAACAGGCATCATCCGTGGAAAGATGCTGCTAGATGCAAACGACAGCGAGGGAAGGGCTTTGTTCTAAACCCGGTGAAGGAGGGCGCATTTACAGGTCATGCAAATATGGAGTGGAAATACAAATACACAGAGATGGGGGGGGGTGAGATGATGAAAAAGAGATTTAGATCTGCAATACGGGCATTGGGCTGTTTATTGACATGACAACCCTCACCTTTTCCACCTTTTATTAATTTATACATCATTTGTAATTGCTTGAGGAAGCAACAATTGGAACTACCAAAATATTGATTGTCATATCTAACACAGTCCAATTAATTAATCCAATCACCCAGCTTTGAAGCATCCACCTTTTTGTGCAGGATGACACATGGTGACAAAAAGGTTAATAACACTATAACAATTCAAAATTATTTGTTTAAGGCAGGTGTAGCACTTCGCTTCATGTTTGGTAGGCATAGTAGTCCCTACTTTTTTCAAATTTATGTTCCCAGGAGAGAGCGGGAGAGTTCGCTCTGTAGATCAGTTTTAATCCTCAGTTTTGCAATAAAAAAATAGACTCACCCCCTGATTTACCAAGGCAGGCGCACACCAGAGGCCTCTACTATGAAGCACCGTTTGTGGTTAGCGAGGTAACTTCGGGTTCAACCCTAGGTTTTCAGGGTAAGGACGATGGTTCACTTCTTACCGGGGTATATTACATAATTGAAAGTGTTTCTTTTTTATTGGTCTGTTCCATACCGCCGAGGTTGCAGCTGGAAGAATAAGGCTAAAATTGTCATACAGGCCATAAGAATACATCTAAGCAACACATTCATTTAATGGAACACACAAATGTAATTATAGTCAGAGCTACTCGTGCCTTAATAATGGGGCAGTGATATTATAAGCCTATTAACGTGTGCATTCACACAGTTGGCGATCTTTTGTCAGCGGTCCTTCCTGCATGTGGCAGCTGCAGCTGTGTTGCTTTTAGCCTGGATTATGTGTTTAACTTCTTCGTGTTTGTCTAATATTATACTTTGCTTTTCATTTGTAAAATAGGATGCTATGCTGCCAGTAGACTAGTCCATGTTTACAAATGGTGGTCATATGCGGTAAAACCCTTTTATATGAACGAGCTTATGGCTAGATCGGGAAAACCTGGGCTGACAGCAGTCGATGACTGTCAGCCATCAGCAATCTATCCTTAGCCCTTCAATTCGGAGGAGGAAAAATCCACAAAAAAATGCCCCAAAACTCTTTAATGGGGCATACAGCAGATGCACTGCGGTGCTCAACAGTTTTGTTCTTATGTCATACCTTTCAAAAGATATAAAGATTGTGCTAATGACTTAGGTTTTGCTGATAACTTTGTGAACTGTGAGGCTTTACATACAGACAGCTATGTGCCTGACCAATCATGTCCTATCAATGGACTTAGATGCAGATTGACTTCAGGCAAGGTCTAAGAACTTCTCAAGGATGACCTGAGGAAACAGTATGCATCCAAGCTGAATTTATAATGTCTAAATAAGTATGAAGGAATTTCTGTGTTGCACTTTGTCATGATTGGGTAGTGCTTATAGGCTGATGGGGGAGTTCTTTAGGTTATCACAATCTTACTAGTTTCACAAAACAAATCTTACATCCACTTGCTAGCTTTTTATGGCACTTTCAAATTAATTTTGTCATGTTTCAGAGCGGATGGAAATGGACCACGAGATGCGGTTAAAAACTCTTGAAAAAGCAAGTAATTAAACCTTGATATTTTTTCCAAGGTCTACAGTGAATTTTCACACTCAACAGATATATTGAAGAGACATTTGTGGAAAAGAATAAGACGTTTATTCCACAAAATCATTTTTGAAACACTTTTTTTGGGGGGGGGGGGTTTACAATTTTTTGTCAATTATTAGGATCAAAAGCTTTCAGCTTTAAATAGTTGCAACATCAATGAGCAGCAGAGTTATATAAATAGCCACTCTTTGTTGCAAAGCAGATTTGAGGGGCCGTCTATTATAATACAGGATCTGATAAGTTGGGCTATATCGGGAGTGCAAAAGCTCTGGGCTGGAATAACTATGCTAAACGAATGTTGTTTGTTCTGCAGAAATTAGAAAACCTCCAAAACCTCAATCATAAATTGTTCACATTTCCATTCGCATGTTGATTTTTAATTTGATTATTTAGCTGCATGGTGTTTTACATTGAGACATATTACACCTCTTTGAGGAAAACATGAAGCAACTCAAACTTTTTTCTTTATCTTTTCAAACACAATTGGGCGACTATTACATCCCTCTCATTCAATCAACGTAAACATGGAGACTACTAGAAATAAAAACAATAACGCAACACAATCATACTGACAGAAGTCAAACTTACCATGAATTAGTGAGTTCCTAAAAACAGGTCAGACAGAGCAGTCATGGTGTGAGGTAATAGGTTGCTGGACAATAGCAGGCTGGTTGACGGAGTGGCTGACTGGTGGACTGTCTTAGTGTCTGTTTGGCTAACGGACAGGCTGTTTGGCTTGCTGGAGACGCAGGGCAAGGCGAGGAGCTTCTTTTCACCACAGGGAAGAGAGGTTACTGCTCTCACCATCCCTGACCGACAGGCACAGAAAGGGACACTAGAGCTGAGGTGAAACGTCTGCTTCCTGTCCTTGTTTCCTTATTTCGCTCGCTCCTTTTGCTTCACTCGCCGCCGTCTCCTACGCTGCCGTGGATCTCGGTGAAAGGGTCATTTATGGACTGGAGAGTACAGGGAGCAGTGAAAGTACAGCATCTGAAAAAACACACGGGGCAAACAAAGACAGGAGCATTTTATCCACCGAGTAAAATAAAGGTGCAGCCATTTAATATATCCACTGTTTACATAATGTGTACAGTGGCAGATGCTACAGGGAGAGCAGAACCTGATTTTCAATACACTACAGACTGCATCACAACACATATGTAATCTAATATCAGCTAATATTCATTTTTCAACATAAACACTTTAAAAAAGAATCCCTTAAATTAGTTTTGTCACCAGAATTGTGATTTAATAAATTAATAATAAACTTAATCAACCTGTCAGTGCTTTCTAATGGACAAACTACGTAAAGGCCACACTGTTTAAGGGCTGAAACAATTAAATGACTAAACAAGTAGTCAATGAATGAACAAAATCATTCTTCAACCATTTTGGTCAACGGTTGATCATTAATCATGTCTCTATTGTTTTCTTCTTGTCAAAAAGTTATTTTAAGATGCTTCCATATGCTCTGGAAAACTGTAATTGGGCATTTTTCAAATTTAAACAAATTCTAAAAATAAATAATTAAATGACAGCTTAATCAATAATGACAACAATAGTTTGGTGCAACCCTCTACTGTTTCTAAACTGCCTCAAACATATATTTTCTGCTCTACAATGTTCTTGTTACTTATTGGCCAACATACACACAATAGCAGTATACTATCTGTGAGAGGCTACGGGATGTGGTCAAAATAAGATGAAATAAACCAAATCAGGAAATGAACCAAATGCAGTAAATGATTGATGATGCTGTCATCATCATTACATTTTCCCATCACTGGTTCCACAACCCAACACTCAATCACAGTCAGATGCCATTTTATAGTTTGTGTCCCTGAAGGAAAACTGACTGAAGGCTACAGAGCCTCCGTGGTTGCTTTCTTGCTGCATGTTTTCATATAGGAATTACTGTTCCAACAACTTGCTTACTCAAAACAGCAGCTCAAGTGTTGAAATGGTGATCTCAATACTGGAGACCCTTTATGTTACTAAAATCACTATTAGCAAGTAAAAGACACTGAAGAAGAACGGAAGAAAGTACAGATAATCTCTAAATTATTAAACATTTGAGTGATCTTTAAAATTACATTTACAATTAAACATCCTTATTTATAGTAGGTTCTCGGCCCATTATGTTTCTGTGAATTCTTACTTGAATTTCATTTATCTTTAGCTTGCTTCAACAAGTGAGAGCTTGTAGCACAAATCAAAGCTAAGAGTTCACATGGCTTAGCGTAGCTACCATCCCTCCTATATGACACAGCACGCTGTCTCAATACTGTTCTACTGTAAAACCATTCCTCTACAGAAAGAAGCATCAATACTGTATCTAGTCATGCTAGTTTAAACTGGTTTGAAAACAAACATGTCCCTTGTAAGTTAAAAGTATAATGAACGATTTTGCATTGCTGGGTGTGAGAGTTTTAACTGCCTGTTCCCAGGAGGAAGACGGCCACAGATTAACTTAAGTAACATGGTTCCTAAAAAAGAGAGAAAGAGAATTACCAAAATGCTGGGGGGGGGGCAGCATCCTTATGATGCCTTTCTGTATTATGTCTGAGCTGGAGCCTGAGTCTGGTCCAGCCTTGTTAACAATCAGATATCACTCAGTGTCTTTAGGGATCATTAAAGTGCTACTTAACCCGGCCACTGTAGACACTAGTACTCTGAGTTTCAATGTTATACATAGATACATCTTCAAGTAAAAATCTCCACCCTACAAGCACATAACAACGATCTCAAATACGTTGATAAGCCTGCTGGTAATCTATGAAACCTCTCTGAATGAAAAGGCTGAATGAGATGTAGTGGCATCATCACCTGGGCTCCTCTGACTCAACACACCCATGGGAAACTGCAGTGTGGGTGCTCCCTCAGCTGTGCACTACGTGATCTCTTTCCAATGCATGACAGCAGAGGAAAATGGGAGGGGAGGAGGGGGTTGGGGGTTAACTAAGTCTAAAGCAGTAGCAAAATTAACTTTAAAGTGACGAGAAGTTGACGAGATAGTTTTCAGTGGATGCGCGGATCTGTTGCATCCGCCTTAAGGCCTGTGCATATCTTCAGATTAAAAAAGTAGTCAGACTCATCGGACCCTGCTCTCTCCCTCTGTGTACTAGCTCTGCTGGCTAGCTGCTGGGTGTTTTGCATGGTTTCTCCTGCAGCTGCCCGAACCATCTGAGCTCAGCCGCTGCAGGTCCGGTGCAGCCCGGGAGAGAGAGAGGAGAGAGAGACAGATCTCCCTCCCAGCTGACACCACGGAGTGATAAAGCTGTTAGAGAGAGAGGGCTGCACACTGCTGACTGTCGGCACCGAAATCGTCCATAAATCAAACACCACCCACTTTCTACTTGCTAGCTTTAGCCGACAGATCCGCTATCTCTCGCAGTGAGAGGAGGAGGAGGTGGCAGCTGAGCAGGAGCTAGCGCCGTGCTAACGTCAGCTAGCACAGCCCGTGTGGAGCATTAGCACAGAATAATCAGCATCTTACCCCTTTCTGTTGGGCTGTCAGTGTCCTAGGGTGATAGGTGTGAAAACGTGATGTCCAGATGCTTATTTAACGACATCGTAAATGGGAATCCTGCGGTGTAATGTCCATCGCCGCTGTTTTTCTGCCATCCGCCCCACTTCAGCACCGAACGCCGCCGAGCCAGAGCCCCTGGATGCACTGCGCAGGCGCGCTGCCACTGCTGCTCTGTGCCTGCAGAAGATGCACTGCTGAGGCTCCACACACAGTTTAATGCACGGAGGGTCACATTACATCTCTGCTGTAAAACAACTAAGCTCCAAACACAGAATATTTACATTTAAAAACTAGCTGCATTGAGTTTATTCAATAGAAAACTTTTCCACAACACAAATTCATCACCTGTCTTGGAGAAAGAGAATCTCAGTAAGGTGGTATTGGCCACTATTCATCCTAGAGGACATTTATCCTCAGGTTATAAACCCGTAAAGAATTTAAAAAAACGCCTCCATAAACTCACACAAGCTTGTTTTGCATCAGAGCAATTTCTGTAAGAAAGAGTCTCTTCAGCAATGTTAGGCTACATACATTTATTGTTACAACATTTTACAAGAGGGTGTCACTTCTGTCAAATCAAATCACATACTATTTTGCATTATTCCTCTTGATTCTTCATATATATCCTTCTATTGTGTTTTGTATCTCATTTGTTTAACATTTGCTGTTTCACTCTGAAGCACATTGAGTTTACCTGGTTATGAAATGTGCTATAGCCTACAAATAAAATTGATAAATAGTAGTGTGCCTATTCAGTGAATTTATAACGAGCTTATCATCCTTTATGATGTATATATATTTGCCATTTTTTATAACAACTATACAGCATAGTCTTAGAGTGCATTATATATATTTGCATGTGGCTATGTGGTTGTTGTTTATAAATTTAGTGACACTTATCAGCAGGAACATGGAAATACACAATTAATATCTACAATAGACTGTTTTCTGCTCTCCTGGTACATGACTGTTAAACAAACAGAAGAAATAACCTGCACAGGGCTGTATGGATCACTCCAACAAATCAGCTGAGACTGTGCCGGTTTTTCATGATGTAGAAAATGCTGAAATGTGAAATGAAGATTCTTCAGAGACAGATTATGAAAACATCTTCGTTGTGATCTGTTTTAAATTGGCAATCATTTTGTTTGAAGTCAGGTGGCAAGACCTGTAAATGGGTGTTGTCACAGCTGCAGCAAAGTACTGCAGAATCCAAAGCTAAAGGTATAATTGAAACCAATACTAGAAACTGCCGAACAAGATTAATAATTTCAGTCATGACTGTTGTTTCAGTCAACACTTAACTGCTGAGTACAGTTTCTATCAATAAATCCACTCATTTGTTCATTTATCTCTGTATATTATCAGAGCTCTGTGTAAGAAGGCACACCATCCTTTTCTGACTTTGTTATACTTTTTTTTGTAGCTTACACATTCACGCGTCATCTACTCAGTCAAAGTCACACTTTCAAGAATAAATCATTATTGCTGAGAACATCTGAATTAGTCTCTCTCTGTTTTTTATTGGATGTTTCACTGAGTCAACATGCATCTGCAGCGTGAACGTGAAGCAGAGAATCTCCTGTTCAACTATATTTTCCTACCATTAACACAGGGGGGCACCAAATCTCTGTTTTCTGTCTCTCTCTCTCTCTCTCTCTCTCTCTCTCTCTCTCTCTCTCTCTCTCGCTCTCTCACACACGCACACAGTGTTCTGATGCAGCAGTGACAAATCTGTGTGTGTGTGTGTGTGTGCATTAAAGAAAATTACAAGAACATTATTACTGTTAAAGTGACAATTAGAGTCTTTTGTCTGACAAATAACACATTTTGTTTGCTAACATAACAGACAAGGGTGCATAAAGACGGCCAGCTCCTGGTTTGGTGCTTTTCAAATTGATTCTTAAGGCAGAGCCATTTATAAAAGGACAAAAGTGAGCACTGCATTAAAAATTTACTGGAATGGATGTACATAACCTGTTGATTTATGTCTGCTAATCCTCCAGTTTTATGCATCTGACACACTCAGTATTTAGATATGAAGAAATGGGGCTCTCTAGAGAGAGGATGTTGAAAAGGTCATGAGAGAGAAGCCAAGATGGAACATATGTGTGTTCCTTGACACCGTTGGCTAATTAATGGGGATCTGAAGTGCATCAACTCTTTTCTTCGTGCACTGTGGAGTGTTGCACTTATTTGCTTGTGAAAAGGTTGAGAGCAACAGAAGTATGGCTCTGCTTCATTGTGGCTCTCAAACATGCAGCAGTGAGAAGATAGAGGGAAACGTTTAATAAACAAGACGTGGGAACACATATCTGTGCGAGAACACATTTCTGAATTTATATACTCATGCACATGTTATGGGTTGTGATTAAGCAAGAAATGAGTGTGCGAGCATCTGTGTTTGTAAAGGAATCAGTATAGGTGGTTGTGCATGTGGATGTTAGTTTGAGAAACAGAAAGAGGGAAACAACATTTACGGGGCCGCGATGCTTTTAACAGAACTGCTAGTCGGAATGCCTGTGGAAACCACCCCTCACTGCCTGCGACAATTTCTGTAACTTTCCAAAACTGACAGTCGATTATTCACATCCACTTTATGTGGCGATTGACCAGGTGTGCGGTGACGAGAAGGGTTGGAACTTCTCTTCTCAAGCCGTCATTTTTCATTCTTTAGACAATCACTTTTTGGGTGTTTAAACAATTATCAAGTCTCAACTCTCTCTTTGACAGCTGCTTTTCACCCCGCCTTCCAGTACGGAACAACTGTAAACACTTCTGACTTTTGACCTGGCTGGACGACATGTGATACAAACTAGTTCTGTTCAACCGTGAGGTGACCCTTAGAGTCTACAGCCATGCAAGCAGCTCTGTAAGGCTATGGCCTACTTAGGCAGGGTAGTGCTAAATGCTAATGTCAGCATGCTAACATGCTAACAATGGCCATGCTGTTTAGGAGGTCAAATTTTACCATGTTTGCTATCCTAGTTTAGCGTGTTGGCATGCTAATGTTTGCTTATTAGCACTAGCTACAAACTTGAACACATTGGAATTTTTGACCTGATGATAATGCTAAAAGAAAAATTAGGGACTCACTAAAGTGATTTGGATATGTCATGGGAAACATGAATGTAGAAACTTTTGTGGCAATTGTTGAGTTTTAAAAAGTTACAACAAACTTAATGTACTCCAGTGTTTCAGTGCTTTCCTTCAAATGTAAACCTGCAGGATTTTAGGCCAAACGATTGCATTAGAATGTTGATTAAACCATTGTTTATATCCTCTTTGTAATGTAAAGAAGACGGAGACCTCTTTGTTTAGTGCCAGAAGGACAGTTTTTTGACTGTTTCATTGACACTTAAGATAGGGTGTCAACCATTTTGTAGACAAGCCCTGTTGTTCTCCATGATTAGTTTAGAGCAAAAGACTGTTTATTCCTGTAGATTGAAGGGGGTTTCACGTCTGGGAATTGGCGCTCTTTTGTTCGACCAAAAGTAACATAGAGCAGTAAGGTACACCCTTCCTAATTGGGTGACGAAGAAGTAACCAAACGACCAATGGCTATGGTCCTGGGCCATTTGGAGGAAAAGACCCGCCCACATACCTGGAGGATATTAACAATTCATTTTGCGAGAATCAGGACTGTAAGCTGTAAATCTGAAAAGAGGAACAACTTTCCAGTCCACTGCAGTGTTTTTGTTTTGTTGTTTGTTCTGTAATGCCATCTTGTATTCACCTATTTTTTATTAAATTTTCTTGTTAATTTTCATCGGATCCAGCCTCTCCTTTCTCAAAATCTGAAAAAAAACGCAACACAATCCATCTCGTAGATGTTGAGATTTTACACTGAATAAGTGAAAACTTGGACCTGGTGGTGGCAATATATGAATAGTAGAATATCATGAGTGTGCAAAATATCATGGCAATCCATGTAACAGTTATATTTCAGTCTGGACCAACAGACCGACATTGCCACTGGCGTGGCTATAAGAGAAGATGTTTATCCCCTCAATCACTAATTAACCTGTAGACCCTAATACCGTTGCTGCTTTAAGACATGTCAGTGGAGTTATCTTTCACCCTGTGGTCAATGTGTTTGTGTGATCTATCAAGCCGAGACAGCCATCTGGGGCTTTTCTGGAGTTAATTCATTTGACGGCTGTTTGTGTGGATGTGTGTGAGGATCAGCGAGATACAAAGGAACGAGGTGAAAGACAGATGGACGTACAGAGAGGGGCAGACATGCTGTTTGGAGCCAGCAGCCATGCTTATGGTACCTCTCCGGTTGTCTGAAAGTATCACAGACAAAGCATGAGGAGTGAATGCACATTTGGAAGAGCAGAACAGATTGGGCAAATCAATTGCTCACAACAACAGAAAGCGTCTGGTTTCTTCTGTGCGTGCATTCTCTCCCGGAAAAACAATGATCGTGCCTGACTGAGTCTGAGTGCATAAACAAAATCAAAGGGGAAGTGAGTTAAATCTACATCAAGAAATAAGCAAGTAAAAAGAGGGTGACATAATAATTTGTTGAACGTAAATTCAATAAACACTAGATACGGACACAGACTTACTGTATCATTGTTCTAATAGCTGTGTAAGAGTATTTGTACCACATTTTTGTATTTAATATATGCAATTAAAATCTGGTTCACATGTCTTACCTCCCCTCAACAGCTCAGCATGGAGATGAGAGCATATTCTGAATTTTAATGTTCTAAATTACACTGAAGAGGAAAGAAAAAACTCATGAAAAAGAAATTAGATGGCTGTTAAAGATGCAAGAGCTGCCTCTCACCAAATCTGTCACATTCAAAAGCTCTGGTTCAGTAATGCATTCAGCAGTCACTATAGCCCTTTTCCACAGTGATTGATTTGAAGCCTGCCCAGGCGAGTGTGACATGTTTATACTTTTTTCACGAGAAGGGTAGATAATATAAGGCTTGATACTCCTCTGTCTGGGCATGACCCAGCTGTAAAACTGCAGTTTACACGTAGCTGCAGCTTATACGTAGAAATTTTTAGCAAAATTCAATTTACCCTCATAGAGACTGCAGTCTGCATATTACAATACCACTTGCAGTAGCCCAACACTGTCTTGAACTACGTTTTCTTTTTCTATTCAGTC